GTGGGTTTTCACTGTAGTGGAATTCTACAGCTGGTGGAACTGGGCGTGGATTGATGAGGAGTTTTGTTTTGTCAAATCTAATGATATTTAGAATGTCTTCTGTTTGAAGCCAAATGGCCAATGATTTTAGTAGGAACTTACACATATAAATACAAATTATGCACCTGAATTCCTCTAACTGATTTAAAATTACTCCTGTGACTGCTGAATCACACACAGGTGGTGAATTCACTCACTGAAATTCACTTCATCATAAAACAGACTTCCAAGAGGAGTCCTATTGAGCTGCCTGTGTATCTCCACTGATGAGAAGGAGAGTTCACATTTACATAAATGATTCAAAGTAGGTAAAAAAAGATGAGAAAAATCTCTGTTTAGAGGTATTTATGTTTTGAAAGTCATGTATATTGTCTCTTTTTGACACAGTTTCATTTGTTTAATTAATTAATTAATGTCTAGTGGAGAAAATTTTGTACAAACAGAGAGTACTACATTGTCTGTTCTGTCAATAGATTTGTTCAGTTTGTTCTGCTGGCTGATTATTGACTATCAAAGAAGCGCATTGGAAAATGAGTTTCTTAGATTTTATTACACACGTGTGAGAGGGAAGAGTGTTAATCTAGTATAAAACAGATGTAAGAAATGTGTGCATGTATATCTGTATTAGTCTGCCTACACCATGGACATGGGTAGTTCATGAAAATAAACAGGCATTTCTGGACTGTGGGTCATTTGACAGTTCAAAAATCATCCTCATACAATCAGATTATTATGCCCTAGAAGTGCTTGTTTCTCCCCACTGATTGTGAAATTTTAGATATTGTCGAGTATATGCTCGAGTACAGGTATCTGAATACAGATAGATTAATTTCACTTCATTACCAGTATATAAAATCAAAAACAAACTCCTTATTTTTACCATAGTAAACTTGTTAACCTGTCCTGTTTGAGACTTAAGAAAGGAATGGGTCAATACATTCTTGGGTCAATACATTCTATGTGCGTTGACAGATGGGTCATGGCTGAAAAAAGAGAGAACTAACCTATGGTAGAAGAATTCACTCTCCTGGGATTCCCTGGCAACCAGCATTTGCAGACCACTCTCTTCCTGCTCTTTTCTCTAACATACCTACTAACAGTATTGGTCATCATAGTGCTAGTGTGGGTCTATGTATTCCTACAGACTCCAATGTACTGCTTCCCTGGCAGCCTCTCTTTCTGCAGATCTGGTACACTACAGCTTGTGTGCCCAAAGCCCTTGAAGTATTCCCTGGACTTTCATCAACTGCACCTTGTAGATGTACTTCATCTTCTTCTTGGACTATATGGAATGTGCTGTCTTGGCTGTTATGCTTATGGTTGCTATCTGGCCATATGCTACCCTTTACGCTACAGTGTCCTCATGTGCAACACCTTGCACACACAGCTGTCCATTGGCTCCTGCATATTCAGTTTCCTCAATGTCACTATCCCAGCATCTCTAATCTCCCCCTCCTTTTTTCTTTTTTTTTTTTTTTGTGACACAGCTTCATGGACTTCTTTCTCCTGATCTGACATTCATTTTGTTGAAATGGCATGTCTTGTCACTCTCTCCACTTCTGTACTTGGCTCTTCAGTGGTAACAATCACCTACATCTATATTACTTCCACTATCCTGGGGATCCCATGAGCCTAAGGTCAGTGAAGAGCTTTTTGTACATGCCTAGCTCATTGTACAGTTGTAATTTGGTGGTACGACTCTACCATCTTCCTGTACATCAGGTGTTATCATCAGACTTCTCTGATTCAAACAAA